CTCACTTACTGCCGCAAGCCTCCTTCTGTCCCTCTCTTTCAATCGCCAGGAACCCTAGCACGATTTTTCCGTGGCGACACTCCACGCCCTTTCCTTATTTCTCCACGACCCGATCCATCCTTGCTCTTTCTTCGCAGATTACCCAGTCTTCACCGCCTTCAGTCACCAACTCTCTTTCCATCACAGCAGCCCGCACTGTCTTATATACTCAGCAATGGTCGTTCAAACAGCCATAATACGTTAGAAAATCTAGGAAGGTTGCTTCCCCAAATCCTCCTCCTCCTCCTCCTCCTCTGCAGCCACCGCCTACTACGAGATTACCACTACAGATCTATGTTGCTTGCTGCTCACCCATCGTCCATCCTGGACCTGAGAAAGGGGATTCGTTGTACTTAATCAGAAAATGGAGCTCTAAGAAGGATTAAAAAAATCAAGGAACTGGAAAAGGAGGAAGGCAACCCCAGATCAAAAAAATTCTGCTTGTAAGGTCTTTGTTAATTAGTTGATCCTTTTTTTTTATTATTATATGAATCTATGAATGAGTTCTAGGATATTCGATTTTAATTGTTGTTTGTGTTGCGAATAGAGCGTAAAATTTTGTTATTAAGATTAAATGTTGAGATTTAACTAATATAGAGGTGCTTCTGATGGTTAAAAGAAAAAAAAAAAAAAAGTAATATGGAGATGTGTGGCTTATTGAACCACTGGAATTGATTTTGTTATATTTGAACGAATATTATTGAAGTGTTTGTTGCTTGGATTTGGTTGTGGTTTTATCATAAGAAAATGTCCTTTCATGAGATCAATCCTCTTTTGTTTTTTAATATCTATTTTTTTTTTCATTGCTCTATTTCTCTTCTTTTTTTCATTTTCATCTAATTATTGTATTCTCCTTCTTATGATGGCTAGATTTTTAGGCCTCTATCTGTTAGTTGTAGTTGAATTCGTGATGCTTTTCCTGTGACATTTTGCACCAGATTTCAGTAGTTGTTATTATTTTTCTACGGAACTCAATTTGGCCATTTTTGTTTAGGAATTCCAACAATGTGACAAATAATCTGTTCAAAATTTTAAAGTGTTGTGTTTTTCTCTTTTCTCTTGTTTCCTTGGTAAGGAAAATTATTAGAATTATCTTTTCATATTATTTATACAATTGGTAGGTCTACAATTGCAGAAGTTGTTGGGCGTCTAATCTACAATGGCTTAATATCATGTTAGAATTACTGCCACATCATTACAACCTGACCCAGTCCCAATGCAAAACAATTGTGTATTTCTACTTTCCATGGAAAATTGCTCATATTATTTGGGTTTAATAATACATATTAGGCATTTCTTTTTTGAGTCCAATCAAACATTTTTCTAGCCGATATTTTCAACACATGAACTTTATTTAACTTGTGACTTCATAATACATGATTTTGGGATGGCAGGTCATTCAATTATTGCTTTTATTCAATTAGATAGGATTATTTTGATATCTTTAATTTAATGACTCTTGAGGGAGGTGCAGAAACTTGATGAGGAAGAGATTAGGGAGGTTGAAAGATTTGTTGTTTCTTCTGAAGAATTGACAGTGACACATGCAAAACAAAGGTATCAAATTGTGATTAAAAAACCATGGCTTCATATAAATAAAGTCAT